CCTGCAGGACCAGGAAGCCACAGCCCAGTCAGAAGGGGGAGGCTGCCATACTGACTGCAGAGGGGATAGGTTAGCTGTGGGGCTTTCATGGGAGCTCGAAGCAGGGGGGAAGGAGGAGGGACATTTCTCTATCTTGAGAAGGTCAGGGAAGGCTTCTCGGAAGAGGTGACCCTGAGTGGTCCTGAAAATCCTGGAGCAATTTTGTAAAGATCCAAACACAAACAATCTGAGCCCATTTGTTAGGTCCAAAATGAAATGGTGATGTCTTAAGAGAGACTTAAGACTTTCTTTCTAACATGAATCATATAAATGGTCCGTGTCAATTGTCACTAATTCCGTATCCCCGTTGCCCATTCTTCTCCCATTCCTGTGAGCCTGAATTAGGCTTATCAGAAGTCATCTCTAGGAATTTCATACAAATCTCTTCTAAGCAACATAAGCTCATTTATATGTGGTGCATACAGCAGCTTAAACAAGCTGGGGGAAGTGAACGAAAACCAAACGTGCAGCAATGGCCTTGGACGTTTCCAAAAAGGCTGGTGATCCATTGCAAGCTTTGAGAGGGCCGGAGGCCGCCTAAATGAGCAGAGGCCTCTGAGAAATCAACCCGGACAAGTTCAGGAACCAGAGAACTGACAAACCCATGCGGACGTCTGAGCGGACATGTGTGGTTCTGCCTTTCTGCAAGAGGAGAATTAAAGGCTCGTCACGGTCCTTCTTCACAGCAGTGGCCCCTGTTTGGTGGGGTTCTTGGGGGGGAAGTGAGGCCAGAACCAGATGTGTGCTTGGAAGTCTAATTGATGCGTGAATGAAGCGCAGGGGCTCAGTGGCTGGAAGAGCGGGGTGACGGGCTTCCTGTCAGCTTGGCCACCAGGACAGCGCGCACATGGGGCTCATGGGCATTTACGGATGTGGGGCTGGTGAGCGAGCCGTCAAGAAAGAATGCTTGAGATGGTTTTGGTGCAAAAAAAAAGTGCCTTTATTACAGCACAAGGGCAGGAGCCATGGGCAGGAGGAGCTGCCTGGGGCTGAGAGGAGTGGCTGATGCTGGCTTTGTAGCTAGTGGACCTCAGGGATGGTGACGTCTCTAGGAATTTGTGTCTGTTCAAAGTGAGGCTTTGATCTCCCTGATATGAGGAAGTGGAGATGCAACAGGGGGGGTTAGAGGGGTAGGAAAAGAATAAATGAAACAAGATGGGATCAGGAGGGAGATAAACGGTAAGAGACTCTTAATCTCACAAAACAAACTGAGGGTTTCTGGGGGGAGGGGGGAGGGGAAGGGGGGTGGGTTATGGACATTGGGGAGGGTATGTGCTATGGTGAGTGCTGTGAAGTGTGTAAACCTGGCGATTCACAGACCTGTACCCCGGGGCTAATAATATATTTTATGTTTATAAAAAAATTTAAAATTTAAAAAAAAAGATCATGTTTTCTCTAAACAGAAAAAAAAAAAAAAGTGAGGCTTGTCAGACCTTAGAGAGCTAGCTGTTGTCAAGATAGCTTACCCTTGGGGCGCCTGGGTGGCTCAGTGGGTTAAGCCTCTGCCTTCGGCTCAGGTCATGAACTCAGGGTCCTGAGGTCCTGGATTTGAGCCCTGCATTAGGCTCTCTGCTCAGCAAGGAGCCTGCTACCCCCTTTCTCTCTGCCTGCCTTTCTGCCTACTTGTGATATCTCTCTCTCTCTGTCAAATAAATAAATAAAATCTTTTTTAAAAAATTTTTAAAAAATAATTTACCCCTCATTATCCGGTAAAACTCTGGTCATGAGGCCCTTTAGCAATGCCACGTTCTGTATGTCTCAAATGTGTATCAGTGGGCAACATGTTAAGATGATTTTTTTTGTTGTTATATTTCTCTTGCCTCTTTATTCTCCTCCTCATTTCCCCCTGAACATATTTTTTTAAAGATTTATTTATTTATTTATTTATTTGACACAGAGAGAGAAAGAACAAGAGAGATACTACAAGTAGGGAGAGTGGGAGAGGGAGAAGCAGGCCTCCCAATGAGCAGGGAGCCCGATATGGGGCTCGATCCCAGGACTCTGGGGTCATGACCTGAGCCAAAGGCAGACACTTAACAACTGAGCCACCCAGGCGCCCCCACATCCCAGAACATTTTTGACCCTTAAACCTTTAAGGTTGCTGAGGGTGGAAGGTCTCATCTTCTCCCACTTCATCTTGCTGAATAAGGAGGGTAGAGACATCTCTTCTACAGGTCAGCACTGGTCAGTTGGGAATGTATATGTAGGAATTTTGAAAGGCAGAGGCAGCTGAATCCAAGGTAGACAACATGCACAAATCTCCTTGAGCAGAAAGGATCATCTGTGTGCGTGAAGGCGTGGCAGTGAAGGAGTCTCCACCAGGTAAAGAGACTTCAGAAAAAAACAGAAAAACCTGGTTAAAATGAATGAAAAAGAAGCCCAAATAAGATCCTTTGATGACCAAAATCTCCGTCCAGTCCAGGAGTTTAATTATTAAAGCAGTGGGAGGGATGGTTTGAAGCGCTGGTATGAGTATTCCTATCTTCTAGCAATCCTGTTACATTTTTGTGATAATCTGAGATATATTCACAACATCCCATTCTAATCCTGGGGCACCCATCCCCTTGGGCTGCTGTCAGAACATTGAATCCACTCTATTTTGTAGGACTGCTTCAGGCATCTGTGTCACTTCAGTATCTAACCCACAGTGCTGCCCTGGAGTCATTTAGGACTTTGACCGTGTACTTATCAAGGTACAAGGGCTTCCATGTACCAAGTGACATCCCCCAGTCATAAAGAGGGAACAAAGGTAGGTGGTCATACCAGTGAAACATGCAGTGTGTCCACAGTTATTTTGAATTCAGAAGGTTGGCTGGGTTAGTAATGGTTTTCAAAGTGCATTGCTTCATCCAAACAAAACCCAGAGTGCAGTGACCTAGCCAGCCTAGGGGAAGCCATGGCCTTAGGTTACAGCCATGTACCCACTGGGTCCCATTAGGAGCCCACTGCCTAATTCTGGGCCTGCTTGTCTAATCAGTAGCAAACCAATCAGTGGCCTGAAGAACAATGATCGGTGAGTGTATTTCAGATGGCGGCCATCTTAACTGCCCTGTGCCCTTCGCCCAGTTTTCATCATTATGGTTTCTCTGTTCCCAGCAGAGAATCGTTTTCAGACTCAGCCGTCCAGTTGTGGGGGTGAGCCATATATATTTGTCCCATATCTGATATATTCCATCCTGCATATACCGATAAGGTGGAGTTTGTCATTTAGACATTCTCTGGTATGTATTTATTTGTGGATGAGTGAATTCAGTCAGAAAGTCACTGTTTTGGGATAGGACTATGGCCGAGGAGATTCCAGGTGGTACTGATCACAGGCAGAGGGTAACATTTTGTTTTGTGATAGATCTATCAGGAAATATCGTCATACTTGGGTCATAGGTCGTAACTGAGACACGGGTATACAAAGAAAGCCCATGATGGGGAGACAAGGCAGACCAGATGTGCCCAAACCAGGCAGAATCCTATGTATTCGGCAAGCTGTTCGATTTTGAAGTTCAGCAAAACGCTGTGCCCATGTTAAGAAGGAATTATCAGTATAAATTGGGGAAAAGAGAATGAGAAAGAGAGATACAATGTTCGTTGTCATTTGAAGAGAAGTCTGAGGTCTTCCACAGGTTCACGGGAGTAAGAAAGCATGTTAGTTGGCACCCTGGGGTCCTGTGAGGAAGATACAGGTTGAATTCTTTGTAAAAGAATCCACGAGGAATGGCCTTCTCATCGCATGGCGATGATACATGATTCGGCCAGTAGGGGCCCTTCCGTTTTGGAGTCAAGTCCCCCTCTCCTAGAATTCCTGTTCTCTAAGTAAATCCCATTTCCTGGGTCTGTCTGAAGTGGAGTTAGTTACTGTCAGATCAGGTTTAGGGAGGATGTGGTCTGAGTATTGGTGTCAAGATTCATGGATTAACCCAGCCTCAAGTGAGTAATTCAACAGAGCGCTGTAGGCCCCATCTCTGGACAGATCTACGGTGAGAACAGGCATCCAGACAGTAATTCAAAGGGGCTTCCGCCTGCTGGTTGCTCTGGGGCAATTCTCGTTCTGGGAAGTCTTACCAATAAATGAGTAAGCCAATTTTCTTGAGTGGAAATGCTTACATTTGTTATTTTCAGGTGTGGGTGGACTTTTTCACCCTTCCAGAATATGTCGGATGCCGGGCCAAATGCACACAGCAGTTAAATTTTAAGTCCTGGGCTAATTTGCTCAGTTATTTGTGCAATAAAAGATGGTCCATTGTCCCTTTGTACAGACCAAGGCAGTTCAGATCTAGGGGTGCTTTCCCTTAATAAACATTCTGTCACTTCAGTGGCCTTTACTGTTTCACAAGGGATCGCTTCTATCCATCCAGAAAAGGTGTCTGCCTAGAGCAGTGAGTACTTATATCCTTTACAAGATGGCATTTGTAAAATCTAGTTGCCAGTCCTCCCCAAGATATGTCCCCCTACTTTGGACTGGTTTTAAGGGGCAGGGTTGAGCCCTCTGGGATTTACTTCTGCCCAAACCACACAGGGTTCCTAGTGGTTACGTGAATCCCATCAGAGGTGTTCTTAATCATCTGCTGCACAGCCTTGTCACCCAAACGAGTAGACTGATGTATACCGTGCATTGGTTTCCATTGGTTGCCTTTGGGTATAAAGACTTTTCCTCTGTCATTTTTAAACCAGTCTTGTGCATTTTTTTGGAAAATCCCCATTCTGGGGCCACCCAGATTTCTTGGTCCGAGTAGACTGGGGCTATATCTGTTACTGGTGTCTGGACTGGTGTAGGACTCGGTACTTGCACCGTCTGCCCGGTGATTGCCTCTAGAGTCCCTAGACAGGTCCTTCTGACGTCCCCTGAGGTGAATGACAGCCTCTATCTTGGGTTTGGGTACAGTCTGTAAAAGGGCTGTTACTTCAGGCCCATATTTAATGGGAAAGTTATGGCTTGTTAATAAGCCTCTCTCTTTCCAGGTTGCCCTGTGCATGTACGACTAGGAAAGCATATTTAGAGTCAGTATAGATAGTAACGCTGAGGCCTTCTGCCAACTGTGAAGCACAAAGGAGTGCGATTAGCTGCACTTTCTGGGCAGACATACGTGCTGGGAGGGCTGTGACCTCAGTAGTCAGGGTTAGATAGACCGTGGCACACCCTTCACCATGAAATTGCTGCCCTCCATAAACCCGTCGTCATGTGCATCACCCGTAGGAGAATCTTCCAAGTCTGATCTGCTAGAATACATGAGATCAACAACATCTGAGCAGTTACATCCTACAGAAGAACAATGGTCAGAGCTGGGCCTCAGGGCAACTGGGTTTGAGGTCTGGCAGGTCTCGAGGAAGTCTTCCGGTGTGTCTAAAAGCCAGGCCTGGTATTTAGTAAGTTTCCCCTCATCATCCATCAGTGGCCTTTAGTTTCTAAAACACTTTGGACCTGATGTGTAGTCATCATAGGCTGGTACTGTCCCGTGGAAGTTCTGGGGCATCCTCTCCCAGGCGGGCAGGGCCAGCCACCTCTCGAAGACAAGCCAGCCACACTTGAGCTACATTGTCAAGTGAAAAATAGCCTACCAATCCCATTTCATGTCCTCATTTTTTGGATCTGAACTCCCGAAACTTGACCCTTTTTTTCTGCTACATGTAAAGCGAAAGCTTTTCCTAAGTTCAGTAGAGCCAAAGCTGGGACTGGTAAAAGCTTTGATGGAAGGCTTTGAAGGCTGTCTGCTGGCCTTTAGTCCAGAGCAAAGTCTCTTCATTGGGACCTTTAACTGAATCATATAATCGATTGGCTAAGAGCCCAAATCCAGGAATCCACAGGTGGCAAAAGCCTGCCATGCTTAGGAAAGTGTGGAGTTCTTTGTGGTTGGGGGCCCAAGATCTAATACAATCTTTTTTCTAACAGTAGGTGGAGTTCTATGACCTGGCCTTAGTTCATATCCCAAATATTGTACTTTCTGTGTAGATATTTGTACCTTTTTAGGGGAGGCGTGATACCCTCTGTCTGCCAAGAAAGTAAGTGAGGTTATGGAATTGCTACCCGACATTTCCTTTGTGGGACTATGGATTAAAATGTCAACCACATGGGACACCTGGGGGGCTCAGTCCTTAAGCATCTGCCTTCAGCTTGGGTCATGATCCCAGAGTCCTGGGATCGAGCCCCGCATCAGGCTCCCTGCTCGAAGAGAAGCCTGCTTTTCCCTCTCCCACTCCCCGTACTTGTGTTCCCTCTCTCCCTGTCTCTCTCTCCCTGTCAAATAAATAAAACAAAAAAAAATCAAAAAATCAAAGTCAAAAAATCTTTAAAAATAAATAAATAAAATATAAAATAAAGTAAAATAAAATATCATCTACATTTTGAATTATAGTCCCTTGAGGCAAGGATCCCTCTCAGAAGTCTTTACTGAGGGCAGCCCCAAGTGAGGACAGTCTAAATCCCTGGGCAAGACCATTCGGGTTAATTGAGCAGCCTGTGGGCTTAAAGGTGAGGCCCATTCAAAAGTGAATAGTGGCTGTGTCTCCTCACTTAGCGGGATGCAGAGGAAGGCATCTTTTAAATCAAGCAGTGTTACACACAACGAATGAATCACTGAAAACTCCATCAAAAACTAATGATGACTATATGTTGGCTAATTGAATTCAAATTAAACAAATAAATCAAGTACTGTAAACAAGTTGGGATCCCCAGGGACCTGGGAGAGAGGAGTATACGGACTTGGTGCCATGGGATGAAAAGGGACCCCCGTCCCATGTAGAGCTCTTCAATCTTGAGCTGTTCGAGAGCCCCGCCTGGCTTCTTTACTGGTAAAACTGAAGCATTGCAAGGAGATCGACAAGGCCTTAAAATACCATGTTCGAGAAACTTGTCAAGAAGTGGTATAACCCAGCTTTCATTTTGCCTCTGGCTTTAAGGGAAACTTTCTCCTATGAGGTATAGTGGCTGGGTCTTTTAAGGTCACTTTAACGGGTTGGGCTTTAAGAGTCCATCCTGGGACAGGGCAATCCCAGACCTGTGGGTTTACTACCTTCCGGATATTAGAAGGGACGTTAGGGTAAGGGTCTGGTTCTCCACGTGTTAAAGAGGACAAGCCATACTCTTCTTTAGTAGGAGCAGAACAGCTCCCTGGTTTACATATGAAGTCTCGCCCAAGGAGTGGAGTGGAACAGGACGGAAGGACCAGAAAAACTACATCTCAGTGGATGTCAGATGCCGATGAACTCACATCATCTGCATTTAAAGGAGCTATTCCCGCCGGTTTTTTTCGGGTCCTGGTTTGTATATTTACAGAGAGCTTCTATAAGCCTGAAACAGCCGGATTGTCACCAGCAATTTGGGGGACTTTCTGGATTTTGTTCAAATGTACAGGTTTAGAGAATCCTTTTTTCATTCCTTCTATCAGGGAAGTGATCATAGGATCCCATTTCTCTCTTCCTCCGTTTTCCTTACATCTCCAGTGTGGCTCAGTCACTGGGACGGCAGTGCCCCCATTAGATAACATTCTCCATCTCTCGTGGCCAGTTGGTCAGCGAACTCTGCAGCTCCTGTCCAGACATGGTTCTTTTCCTCAACAAAGAGTCAATATGATAGATAGACAGACACACATCACATATGTGTGTTTATCATTTATCATATATATAACATCATCTCTATATGCATATATATGTGTGTATGTGTATATACACAAGATATATTTATGTATATCTTGTCAGGTCAAATCGAACATAATGGCTACTTGTTCAAAACTCTTGTAAAGCTGAAGAAGGTTCCCAGAACATTGACCTAATAGTTGTTTTATCTGAACCGAGTGTGCCATGGAGGACAGGACATGGACGCCGATAATGCCCATTTCTCCATTAGCAGCCTCCCTAAGGGATGCAATGCTGATTTAGGGGGAACTGCCAGGAGATGGGGAATTCTGTTCCTGGTGTGTCCAGCTGGACCAGGAGCAGAGGGGTCTTGAGGCTTGTAAGGAAGAGGGCTAGTGACAGCATCAATGTCTCCTTTATGTGGAAGGCTTGTGACTCCTCCAGTAGCCGAGGTTTATTAGGAGGAATGGGCATTCATCATCCAATACATCAGGAGGGGGCTTATTAGCCTGGCTAGTGGCCAAACACATTCTGCAAGAGACTCTGAGGTTGGGATCCCAGTTTTAGGACCATGAAGGCTTGGACATAGTGTACCTTTGTCCAGTTGCCCTGTTTCCTGCAGGAGAGATCTAACTGATGTGTCATATTCAAGTTTAATGTCCCATTAATGGGCCATTTTTCCTCAGGAAGAAGAAGAGGAGGAAGGGGAAGAGGAAGAAGAAGAAAGAGAAGGAGGAGGAGTGGGAGGGGGAGAAGGAGGAGGAGGAGGAAGAGGAAGAGAAAAAGTGGTGCTGGTGAGGAGGAGAAGGAGGGGGAGGAAGGAGAAGGAGAAGGAGATGACGAACAGGCTTGTCTTTCTTAAATCTTGCCATCTGAATTGACTCTAGAGGGTTAAAAGGCATCCCAAGAGAAGATCCTTGGGGACTGAAGAAGATCCCATGTTCCTAGAAAAGTAAAGAAGGTCCATTACCAAGAAATGGTGGAGTCCCATGCAGGATGTGTTCGAGGTTTCTAGAGTCAAAGCAATTGGAGGCATCCCTCCAACAAAATTGCTACGAATGCAGTTTTGCGCTATAGGAGGGATGCTGGCATCCCTCCATTTCCCCATTGTGTCCTGGGCTACAAATGGGTGCCAGTGAATGGACCTAACTAATGTGCCATCCCAAGAAGAACCTGCTGTTTTTAACCCATGGAAAACACTAGAAAAGTTTTACAAGGGGGAATTACGCAATGCTGTAAGTAGTTAGTAGAGAACATTGATAGAAAGCAGTGAGGATAGAGGTCCATCATGGTCTAAGCAACATTCCAACACATGACGTCTTTCGCCACCAACTTCCCTTGGAAACAGGTCCCTGGTTGGATTTTAATTCAATTGCGTATTGGTTTTAGCCAGCTCCAAGCGGAGGTCCCATGGCCAGAAGCGACTAGATCAGGGATGTGAAGAGGATCACATTAAACCAATGAGGAGGAAACCTCACATGGAAGTCTTAAGATTGGCAGCCGTCGTGATGACTTAAGTGGCTGTCCCGTCCCCGAGGTAGACAACTTTGTTTAAGAATGGGAAGGAAGAGAGGGCATCAAGTTTCTGGGTCTCATTATCATTCTGGCCACGGTACTAGCTTCTAGCCAAAATGCAGACCTTCTCCTCCCCGTAGAATGGCTAGAGGACTACAGCCTGAGCAATCCACGTGAACGTGTTCCACTAAGACCGCACTCCTTGAAGAGCCCCCGGCGTGAGAGTGAAGAAGAGGGAGTCACTCTGGGAGTCACTCACCAAGTTTGCACCTGCACTGTGACTCGGAGTCCAGACGAAAAGATAGGCCCCACACTGGGAGCCAAATTATGATGTGGGGTCAGTGAGTGAATGGTCAAGAAAGAATTCTCAAGACATTTTCTGTGCAAAAAGGTGCCTTTGTTATGTTAGTAAGCGTCAGGGATATTTGTGTCTGTTGAATTTGTGTCTGTTGAAAGTGAGGTTTCTAGGACCTTACAAGGACCTAGCTATTGTCAAGATAAGGTTACCCTTCATTATCTAGTAAAACATTAGTCATGAGACCCTTTAGCAAAGCATGTTCCATACATCTCAGATGTGCATCTGTGGACCACACAGAAGATGGTTCAGTTTTGGTTACATTTTTCTTGCCTTTGTTCTCCTCATTCATGTCTCCCAGATCCAGAGACTGGAAGTCCAAGATCAAGGTGTGGGCAGGTTCAGTTCCTCCTGAGACCTCTGTCCGTGGTCTGCACAAGGGCCCCTTGCACTGTGGCCCCACATGGTCTTTTCTCTATGGCGACATGCCATGTGTGTCTTTGTGTGTCCTAATCTCCTACAAGGACACCAGTGCTGTTGGACAAGGCCCCACTCCAATGGCCTTGTTTTAACTGAGTCCCTTCTTTCAAGGCCCTACTTCCAAATATAGTCACATTCTGAGGTTCCAAGATTAGGCTTCAATGTAGGAATTTGGGGGACACCACTCATCCCCCAGCACTTCTTTAGATGGTGGGGAAATGGGTGTGTGTGGGGGGGAATATCCACCACCGTCACTCCAAGAAGGTGACATTAAGGTGAAGGCAGGACAGGTGAGGAGTCAGCCATGGCGGGGGGTGGAGGGCCTTCCAGACAAAGGAATTGGCTGGGTCTCCGAGCCTGGCCCAGAGGCCAAAGTGGCTGCAGTTGGGTAGAGTGGGGTCAGAGGGGTTGGACAGGCTGGAGAGCGACCCAGGCCAGACCTGTAGGACCCAGGAAGGGGTTGGGCTTGATAGAAATACAGGGGCACTCCAGTATTGTTTTTTTTTTTTTTTTGAGATTTCATTTATTTATTTATTTGACAGAGAGAGGGAATGCAAGCAAGGGGAGAGGAAGAGGGAGAAGCAGGCTTCCCGCTGAGCAGGGAGCCCGATGTAGGGCTCGATCCCAGGATTCTGGGATCATGACCTGAGCTGAAGGCAGACGCCTAATGACTGAGCCACCCAGGTGCCCCTCCAGTATTGTTTTAACCTGGAAGTCGTCTTTACCTTCCTGGTAGCTTGGCAGAGCTAGGCTGGAGACCTGACTGTATTCTTGGTCAAGGAGTTTTGATAGGAATTCCTTTCTGTCCTCAAGGTCAGCCTCTTATGTCCCTTTCCCCTTTACCCCCAAGGCCAGATCAGCCTGTCAAGTACATTCAACTACTTGGCCCAACTATTTCCACCAAATTAAATTTCCGACTTGCAAGGGCCTCACTCTGTCTTTCTGGTAGTTTTCTCTCAAGCGGTCAGCCCAGAGGTGTATCACTCCTGCGTCTTGATGGAGGGAAGAAAGCTGGGATGAAGGCTCGGCTCCCCGACAGTAGTTTTGTGTTAGAATCCTGATGGGACACTAAGATGTTTGAATAAAGGGCCAGAACCACACGCAAACCTCCTTCCTGGGCTCTTCTGTCCCCAGCTGCCCTGTTCAAGCCCTGTTCAAGTGTATTAAGAGAAGGGCCAAGGTCAACCAACATCATATACCAACAGATGGCCAGACTTCTTCTAGGACAGTAGATAGTTTCTCCCCCCACCCCGAGTCTCAGATTGTAAGCTGGACGTTATTCCATGCTGTTTGCATACAGCCGTTCTGAAAGGCAGAACTGTCTCCAGTGTCCGGCGAGGCGCTCTGACACACGGGCTTGAGGCTGGTCTGTGACCGGGAAGGGCCACCCGAGAAAGCTGCGCGGCAGACCCCACAAGGCATTCAGCCAGACGGGATCAGAAAAACCAAGTTCAAGAGAATCGCTGTTACATGTGACTGCACTGGAGAACGGACCACACGGGCTAACGACTGAAGTGTAGGTAAAGGATGAAAGTGTGACGTTCACTTTTAAGCTGCGTCCCCTGGGACGTGCGTCCCCACACTCAGCACAGCTGAGCCGCACACGGTGAGCAAGGGCCACGCCTGGTGCAGGGTGGCGGGGCCCTTGGGTGCGGGGACGCACACAGCCCACGCGGGGGCCACACTGCACGGGGCAAGGAGTAGGCTTTGGGCTCAGACAGCCCAAGATCGGGATCTTGGGAAGGGTATTTAAACCCTGAACCTCACTTCTCTTCCCTGTGAAATTGGGGCGTTCATCGTGGAGCTAGAGGTGACCAAGGAAGCTGCATGCGTAGGCCTTGGCCGATCACCACCCGCCAGGCCTGGGCCCCCGCAGCATCTGGTTTCCCCTCGCCACTTCTGTTCCCGCTTCCTAAAGCACCACCTTCTCAAATGGCCCTGTTTCCTCCCCTGCAGACACCCGCATCCCCGACACATACACACACACCACGTTCACTTACACACATTCACTCACACTCACTGACACACACCACATTCTCACACAAAGTCACCCTCACACCACACGTTCATTCACGCTCCCTCACACACACATTCGTTCACACATACACACACATTCACTCTCACACATTCACTCACACTCACTGACACACACATTCACTCTCACACAAATTCACCCTCATACTACATATTCACTGACACATTCACTTACACTCACACTGCACACACAACTCATTCACTCACAACATTCAGTCACACTCACACACCACATTCACTCTCACACAAATTCACTCATACACACTCGTTCCACACACACACCATACATTCCCTCACACACACATTCACACCACCACAGACACAGACGCAGTCTTGCACACACACCTACACTACAACAGGTGCGACTAAGTGTCAGCTGTGACTCTAACGCACCCACCTCTCAGGGACCGAACACAGAGCTGCCTACATCGATGTCTATGAAATCTGGGAACTCTCTGCTTCAAAGTCACATTATCGTTTCTTTTCCCCTAGGAAAAGCCAGTACTGCGTCTTTTCCTCAGGCGTTTGAAATACCACATCTTTTCATTCACGAGACTCTACATCTGCCTGGGTCTCTTTTGCTGTTCACTACTTTGCTTATTAATTCACTAGACACGAGATTCTCGGGCTACTGCATCGTTGGGATGTATTATGCCATTCAGTCTACTATGTATGTTGGAATACTATACTCTTACGTTGTTGTGTGATACCTGGAAGGACAAGTTTCCTCCAATTATTTTTCTTTCAAAATGTTTCTTTTTTTAAAAAAAATGTAATGCTTTCAGACATTGTCTTCCTTTTATTTCATGTCATTTTTCCTTTATCCCACTTGAACTTTTAGCCAAGGGAAGTGGCCAAAACAACCCCTACTACACCTTGTCCGAGTGTAATAGAGACTCACATTTTGCTGGCTCAAAACACTGGAGTGTGTTGGGTGAAAATGTGCTCCTTCCGGCGAAGACGTAAGGCAAAAGTGGGGGCCTGAAAAGAGAAAGGTAGCCACGTGGCTGGTAGGAGTGCGGGACTCTTAGAACATAAATAATGCATTTATTCATAAAAGGGAGGAGTTAGAATGTAAAAAACAGTGAAATTAAATAAGTGGATATAAGATGCCAGATTATACTTAAAAGGTGGAAAAGTGGTTAGAAGATACTACGGCAAGCACGGTGGGGGGGTGTGCACGTGTGCGTCCTCGGACGCTTGGGGAGATGTGGCAATAGATGACAAATCAAAACATAACATGTAGGGACGCCTGAGTGGCTCAGCGGATTAAGCATCCGACTTTGGCTTAGGTCATGGCCTCAGGGTCCTGGGATAGAGCCGAGCTGTTGGGGGCTCCACGCTCAGGAGCGGGTTGGGGAGGTCTATTTCTCCCCTTTCCTCAGCTCCTCCCCTGCTTGTGCTGTCTCTTTCTCAAATAAATAAATAAAATCTTTTAAAAAAAAGTGACATGCAAACCTTCACCCTGAGAATCAGGAAAGGCTAGCTCGTGAGCCTGTGTTAAGAATGATCAATACAATCATTGTTAGAATTAAAAACCAGGATATGTAACTTTCAAAGACCAGAAAATATTATAAAGCACCTCTCCCACACTAGCGAAAAAATGAAATTAAATTTAATTTAAAAAATGAAAATGAGGAAGCAACAAAGAAGTGGGACAAAGAACAACATAAAAGAAGTAAGGAAAAGTATAGCAACCAGAATAAGAAAATATAAATGATGTAATACCCCAGAGTAAGAAAGAAAACTTTCAGAAAGTTCCTTAAAACAAAGTACAAGCATGTACTCTTTATAAGTCGTGCCTACAAAAAGCTGATGTGCTTAGGTTAGAAGTTGAAGGAAGTGTCTGAGCAGAAGGAAGCCAACTTTGTTCTAATTCAAGATCCTCTTGGCTATTTTAGCATTTTGCATTTCCATTTTTGGAATCAGTTTACCAAGCTTCACGATGCTGGAATTTTGCTTAGGATTGGGTTCAACCCACAGATCAATCTGAGAAAACTGGAACCCTTACAATGCTGGCTTTGCAGTCCCTGGAGATGACGCTTCTCCACGCACGGAGCACTTAGTTCTCCCAAGGATGCTTTGAAGCTTTCATCTAAAGGTCTTGCACATATTTCAATGTATCTATTTCTAGGTATTTGATTTTCATACTATTGTAAATGATGCATTTTTGAAATTTCATGTTCTCCTTGTTAATTATTGCACTGAGAAATACAATTGATTTTTTTGGGTGTTTTGGTTTTATATTCAGTAACCTCTCTAAATTTACTAGTGTAAATACTTTATGTAAATCTCTTTGGTTTGTCCAGGTACACAATCATGTCTTCGGCAAATAATGAGTTTTATTTCTTTCTTTATGATTCTTCTGCCTTTTTTTCCCCTGGGCTTATCACACACACCTAGGACTTACAATATAATGGTGAATTGTGTGGCATCATTGACTCATTCCTGATCTATGAGGACAGCTTCAATATTCCATCATTAGGAAGTTTACTTAAAGTTTTTGTTTATGTTTTGTATTAGATTGAAGATGGACCATTTTATCCCAGGTTTTCAAGAGTTTTGGTTGTTTTTTTTTTTAAATGCATTAAATCTCATAAAATGTTTCATTTTTCTGGATCTATCTAGATCATATGGTTCTTATATTCTTGATGTTAATGTGGCAAATTACATAGACTTTTAAGTGTTAAATCAGTCTTACATTGTAATAAACCCAAATTTGACCTAATGTATTATTATTTTTATATGTTGTTGAATTTCACTTACGTTTTATCTAGGATTTTTGCATCTGCCTTCAAAAAAAAAGACTGGCCTACCATTTTCCTTTCTGTGATGTCCTTGATGGGTTTTGGTATAATGTTTCACTGGCCTCAAATCTGAGTGGGGAGTCGTCCCTTCTTTTTCATTCTTTGCAAGAGTGTGTGAAATGGGTGGCTATGCAATGTATAGTTATTTCCCTTTTTCCATTTCTAATATTGGTTATACATATTTCTTTCTTTTTCCTTTTTTTAATTAAATTTCTTTGGTTTGACTTAAATTCACGTTAGTTAACATATAGTGTATTATTAATTTTGGGATAGTCGTTTCCCTTTTTCTTGATCAATTTTATTGAGGTCTTCAAAGAAGGAGCTTTTTGATTTTTCTCTATTGTAAATTTGTTTCCTATTTCGTGGACCTCTGCCCTTTTTTTATTCATTCTTTCTTCCAAATTTTAGATTTGCTATTCTTTTTCTAGTTTCTTGAGAGACTGACTTTCAGCCCATCTTCTCTGTAATAATTTCAAGTTGTGAGTTTTTCTCTTACACTCAGTTTTAGCTTTCCAGCACAGGTTTTTTTGTTTTTTGGGTTTTTTTAAGGATTTTATTTATTTATTTATTTTTTATTTGACAGAGAGAGAGATTACAAGTAGGCAGAGAGGCAAGCAGAGAGAAAGTGGGAAGCAGGCTCCCTGCAATGCAGGATTTGATCCCTGGACCCTGAGATCAAGACCTGAGCCGAAGGCAGAGGCTTTAACCCTCTAAGCCACCCAGGCACCCCTCCAGCACAGGTTTTAATTGGTCATAGTTTCATTATCACCTACTTCCAGATATTCTCCAATGTCTTTTCTGATTTCTTCTTTCACCCTTGGGTTATTTAGAATTGTGTAGTTTAGTTTTCAAACAGTTGGGGGATTTTCTAGTCCCCTCCCCCGACTTTACTTCCACTGTGGGAAGAATATTCTCTTTATTATTTTAACTGTGAAGAGTTTTCGGAGGCTGGCCTTATTGCCCAGCCATGATCAGTTTTGGTAAATGCTCCATGTGTGCTTCCAAACAATGTGCATATTGTGGGTTTAGAGTGCTCTATATATGTCAATTAAGTCTTTTGCTAATTGCATTATTCAACTATTTTGCTTTTTAATAATTCTGTAACACATTTGAAATATGTTAAAATCTGCCCATTATGGGGGCACCTGGGTGGCTCAGTCAGTTAAGCATCTGTTTTCGGCTGAGGTCATGATCCCAGGGTCCTGGGATTGAGCCCCACATCAGGCTCCCTGGTCAGCAGAGAGCCTGCTTCTCCCTCTCCCTCTGATGCTCCCCCTGCTTGTGTTCTCTCTCTCTCTGTGTCAAATAAAAAAAACCCTACCATTATGATTGTGAATTCATCTATCCTCTATGTCTTGTCAATTTTGCTTCACATGTATTTTAAAGCTCTGTTATTAGATGCACAGATTAAGATTTGTGATATCTTCTTAGTGGATTGGCCCCTTTCTCATGCTCAGATGTTTATCTCTGGTAACATGCTGGCCTTAAAGTTGACTTGGTTTGGCTCAGTGTAGGTATATCAACTTCTTTTGGTTTGGTTACCAAGCATATCACTTTCCATCCTTTTACCTTCAACCTACCTGTGTCTTGATGCTTAAAGTCTGTTTTTTGTAAATGGTGTATATTTGGATTTTAAAAGCTATGAGTCACAGTCTTCATCTTTTTTTGTGGATTATCTAGGCTATTTATGTTTAATGTAACTACTGATAGAGTTGTGCTTATATCTACTATCTCACTGTTTGCCTTTTATTCCATCCCTCTGCTTTATGTCCCTTTTTTCTCTTTTTATGACTTCTTATGAATTAATCAAACATTTGCATCATTTTATTTTCCCCATGTTAATATTGGTTATACATTCTTGTAGTATTCTTATAGTGGTTACCTAGAGAACTTTTTATTTTAAAATCAGAAAAAAAATCTATTTAAACAAGTATCAAAGTATGCTACAGAGCATATTGAGAAAATATATCAAAATGAAAATAGCAATTATAAGCTATAAATGCCAGACAAACAATAACTCAATGTATATTTGTTTGTAGTATATAAACCAGGTGAAGACTAATGAAACTACATTTCCCAGAACCCCCTTTTCTGTATGGTTCTGTTTAGAGTTGAAAGGAGAAATGCACAAAACTTGGAAGGCCAGAATGCTCAACCTTAGCAGCAGAAGTCACTAATCATAGAAGGTTGTCATGGCCACCTATAGTGACAGACAAATGCACAGACAACTGGTAGACCCTAGTTATCTTTACTTTCCCCCACTCTGGGTCCAACTTATCCTCCTGATTGCTGGCCTTTCTAATCAACCATGAGCCCAGGCCACCACCAGGCACCTGTGGGTCCTACACAGGTGACAGTTACTCAGAGGCAGTATCTCCCTTGAGGCAGAAGTTTCCCTAGATTTCACCATGGGTGCTGCCCTGTGTGGTCCCAGCTGTGGAGGCTAGACCTGCAAGCTCCCTTATGTCCACTAGCTCTGGGTCTTCAGTGAGCTGGTGAATGGCTTCTCTGATCCTCCCTTTCCCTTTCTAGACCTTCATTCACTGAGCTCCTCCCACACCTGGAAGCTCTAATTCCTAGGATAAGTCCCTTATTCTCTTATTCTCATAATACTAACAGTGGCTCTATTCTTCTGATAGAACGCTGACTTGCATACAGCACAAAGAGGATCGAATAGAGCACAGGAGGTCATTTTATACTGTTAGATTGTACAGTTCAGAATGTCATATAACTTTAATGAATCAATTACCAAAAAACAGTACTTAAAAACAAAAGGCAAAACTATTCAGAAATACCAAAAAGAAATTGATAGAAACATGGTTTCATGCTATCAACTTGAAAACACTGATGTTTTGCTAGAAAGATGCAAATAACTGAAGAGGATTTGATAAACAGGAAACCAGGAAAGGGCTCTTGAAATTTCAGAAGTTATCAAAAATCTGTCTTCAATAATTTTGTTGTGGTCAGATAATTTTACAAGTCATTATCATGACATTTTTAGGGAACAAATGCCACTATGTCAACTATATAAGACTCACAAAACTTTAATATTAATGTATATTGTCTAGTAGTCTATTCTAGTAATAATCTCCCCAGTCTAAAGTATATCTTATTGCTGGAATGTAAAAATAATTTAACATAAATGAAACCATTTTATAATTCTTGAATGTATAAATAGGTGAAGAGGAAAAGACTATAGGCCTTCTTGATAAATATTAAAAAAGTATTTGATAATATTCACTTCTGAATTTTTAAAAAGCTTCTAGAACTAGGAATATAATGCAATTTTCTGGGGGACCTGGGTGGCTCAGTGGGTTAAGCCAATGCCTTTGGCTTGGGTCATGATCCCAGGGTCCTGGGATGGAGCTCCATATAGGGCTCTCTGCTCAGCAGGGAGCCTGCTTCCTCCTTTCTCTCTGTGGGCTTCTCTGCCTACTTGTGATCTCCATCTGTCAAATAAATAAATAAAATCTTAAAATAAAAATTTTTTAAAAATGCAATTTTCTTGTAATCTAAGAACCTATTGTAAACCACCAATTAAAGTATAGTTAGCAATTTAAAAATATGGGCACTCCCCTTAAAATCAAGAATAAAAAAAAACCCTGCAATCACTGGTATGGTTCTTCATTGATTTGAAATTTTAGACAATGAAATAAGATGAGAAAAACATGAAGCTGCATACTGAAAACCAGGAAGAGTATCATCTGTCTTTACAGACAGTTTTGATCGTCTATCTGAGGAGCCCAAGGAAATCAACTTCTTAAAACTGCTTTAGTTAATAACAAACTCAAATGGAATGGCTAGTTAGCGATCCAACATACAGAAATCAGTGTCTTTCTGACATAGCAGCAGTAACAAGGAAAGTTTAAAAAATCATCTCTATATTTTTAGTAAAAAAATAAAGATACCAGCAATAAACTTAAAGAGAATGCACAGAGTCTCTGTGAAGTCACGAATAACTAGTAACAGTCATTAACAAAACTTAGAGACATAAATTTCTGAGTAAGTCAAGTGATAAAATATCCTTCTGAGTGGGAAGATATATTAATTTTTATATATATTTAATACAATTTAATAGAACTAATTCATAAAATCTAAAAATGTAATAGTTAATGCATTTGAATCTATAGAATTCTGTTTTTTTAACCTTGAAAAAATTATTCTAAGATTTACCTAGGACAACACATTTATTGGAATACATATGGTAACTTGTTTCTTGTACAAAAACATTCAGTTTTGGAGGTGGGAAACCCATCCCCCCTTACCAGACACTAAACAGATCAATTTACAATCTAATAATTAAAATGGTATTTTTCTGGTCAAGGAATGAATAGACCATTAATGACGGGGGGGGGGGGGGAACGGAAACACTTTTGAAACACACAAGTGTTTGTAAGAATTTAGTATATCATAATCTCAATAATCAGAGAAATAGTGATTGGACTGAATGACTGATTATTTGAAAAAAAATAGATTTCCTATGTCACATTTTATAGGAAAATCAATTCAAAAATGCATTAAAGTTTTAAACGTAGGATATAAAGGCAGATGGTGGAAATATGCGTATTTGGGGGAGGAAATGCTAAGAATGACTCACAAAAAAAGTATTCTATAAATAGCTCTTCTCTTTGCTTTAGTTGATCATTATTCTTAAAGTTTGAACTATATTTTATTCCATATTTATTTATTTTTAAGGAATTTGTACAACCAACATGGGGCTCGAATTCACGACCCTGACATCAAGTTGCAGGCTCTGCGGCTGAGCCACTGATGACAGTGCCCTGTCATCATTCTTAAAATATTATACTGACCCATCAAACTGTCGTTTTATGTTTCACGAGCCAGTAGTTGAAAATAGTATATCTGTTTTTCTCTCAAATTATCCTGGCGGGGGGGAACTCACAGAAGTAGAAAATATTTTCCAGCTTAATTTACCATACATATTTTTCCTCCCATAAAATCACGTGTCACGTTTTGGACATCAGGAGACTGGGTGTTCAGCTGTCCCAGTTTGAATGTAAACCTTCCTGCCTTTCACGCGCTCGCGGGCAGACCGTCGGGACCGCACCCGTGGCCGTCCGGAGCGCACGGTGCGGGCCGTGACCGCTCGTAGCTGGTCTCCGAGCTCGGGTTCTGGAAACGCCCGCGCCGCGCCAGCCTGTTCTGTTGGCTCCGGGCGTTTCGCAAAGAAGATGCTGGGGAGCGGCACTTTCTGTGTCTCCCTCGAGCAGCGGGAAGGCAGACCCCCCCTGACTGGGTCAGGGCTCGGGCCACCGAACTGGTCTGTCGCTTCCCGGTTCGGCCGTGACCCGGGGTCACGCGTCCCCCAGCCGTCGAGACCGCACCAGCTGCGTGCGTCACGACCGCGCGTGTGTGTCCTGGGACACTTCAGATGTCCCCGACTGGCTCTGAGCAATCCGTGGTCCGAGGACGGGAGGACAGTTGCTCCCACCCCCCGCCCGGCTGCGCGCCCCGCGGGGGACACCGGCGCGGCCGAGGCCGTAGTCCCGGGAGGACGCTCGGCGGGGAAAGCGCGTCCGGCCCCGCCCGCGCGGCAGGGGTCGCGCTCCGACCCGAGCCGCCGCGAAACGACGGCAGCGAGTCCTAGAAACGCCGCTGGACGGAGCCGGAGAGGAAGAGCGTCTGAGCCGCGCGTCTCCCGGGGCGGGGGGGGGGGGGGGGGGGTCCGCGGCGGCGCCCCCCGCGTCGCGGTGGCGCTGAGTTCGCGGTGTCCCTGCCTGACGCAGCGCCCGCTCGGGAAGTGCCGCCGCTGCCCCCCGGGGAGGAAACCCGCGTCTCGCGGCTTCCTGGGGGCTCCGGGGCGGCGGCGCGCGGAGCGGAGCCCCCGACGTGTGCGGGTCCCCCGCCGCCTCCGCCCCGTCCCCGGTCCGGGCGCTGGGCCGTGACACGGCCGGACTTGTCCGGGTCTTCCGAAGGGCTACGCGGGCGGGGGTCCCGAGACGCCCCCATCCCTGGTGAGTCCCGCCGGCCCGGCGCGGAGGGTGCGGGCGGCTCCCCGGGAGTCACGCCCGGGCGCCCAGCGCCTCCCGCCGGCCGGCCTGGGGCTCCGACCCCGGGGAGGTGAGGCCGGCACAAGTCTCCGATTTGCGGAAACCAGCGAAGGGACGAGGGCCGAGGAGCGTCTCCGGGACTGTGTTCTTTGACCGCGGGACTTCGACTGCGCCGCCCAGGGCCGCACCTTTTCACCGCCCGCGCGCGGTCTGAGGGGGCGCAGTGCAGCGGCCGACCCCGACCGCAGCCTCGCGTTGGCAGGGGTGCGCCCCGGGTTTTTATGGACTTCGGCCGGCGAAAGACCGCGCTTCCGCCCCCCCTCCCCTCTCCCCCTCCTCTCCCCTCCCCCCTCCCCTTCCCTCCCCCCTCCCCTCCCCC